CAAGTCCCACTTACCAGTTTATAAAACGCAAAAATTTTCATGTATGATATTAGGAACTGACTCTCGAATATACAAGTGTTTGATCTGTACCTGGGCGCTGTCCGTGTCCATATATGAATGTGAGTTTTAAAGTTAAGTTTGTAGTCCAGTTCAACGCCTAGGAAACGTGCTGAGGTTTCAGCTCAGATTTCCCGGTCGTGGATACGGATGTGGAAGTTATTGGAGCAGAAATGTTTCGTGGAGAAGATAACCAGGTATGACTTATCAAAGAATATTTCTAAATATTTTGAGTGGAGGTGAGCAGAGGGTCTGAAGACAGCCTATTCAATTTTATTTAGGCAGGTAGGGAGGTTCGGTCCTCGGAGGAATATTGCCAGATCATCAGCAAAAGCCACGATCTCAGCTCCTAGGTCAATCGGGTTCGGAAGATATGTCAGGTAGATATGCAAATACGATTGAGCGGAGAACTGAGCCTTGCCCAGGATCTTTATTCACGTCCCGTATGCATCTCCCGTACGTCGGCGATTCGGTAACTTAGTGGGGAGTACTTCCCCCACTCTGCTGCTTTGAGCTATATAAGGGCCCGTACAACAGGCACTCGCGGCAATTCGTGCTCGGCTCGCCTTGAGCACTCACCTTGATGACTGGCTCTCTAACCGCTCCGCTTAACCTCTCTCAGCCTTCTCGCTTACTAGAACGCTTTTTTCGCATTGAAGTCTTTGCGGTAGCCCTGACATTTTTTCCGCGTAACAATGAATATTTTTGCTTTTTATCGCTTTTATCTGAAGAACGGCATCGCCTTTACTTATTACGATCCGGTTGTTATTACGTTACATTTTATTACAAAAACTTATTAGAGACAGTTCATTATCGCATTACTCATCATCGGGAGAATTCATCGCAAAGCGTTAGTTATCAGAAGAACAATTAATTACAGTTTTACTTATCACGTAACTAATTAATTAGCACGTTTGCAATATTTGTATTGGTTTTTGTTAACTATACCAACTTTGTCAAAATCCCGTAACTTTTTAATTTACGACCTAGGTTCCATTTTTTAATTTATATATTTCAAGTCAACTTACATATTATAATTATTGTAATTATGTCCTGATGAATTTTGCTATGATAAAATGCGGTGTGGTCAATTTTTACTGTAATGAAATGAGACAATTAATTATATCATAATAATAGATGGTGTAATGAATTATGTCATATGTCGAGGTGCAATTCAAAGAATAGATGGTCTTGCCCTCCGTCTTGTGGAGTTGGTACTAAAATTATCGGCATCACAGTTACCATATGGTGAGAAGTCTATCCTTTTTACATTAGTTTATTCTTTTAGAATGGCAGTCGACGGTGAGACATCATGGCGGATGGATTGTTGTCAAAACTTTCCCCAAATTTCAATGTTTAATTTGTCACGGTATTTTTTAAATTGAAATAATTTTTTCATCTCCCAAAATTTGTCATTTCGGGTGAGTCTCGGGGTCTGATCTTTAGGATCAGCTGTGATTCTTCGTCAAACCCGATATTTGAGAAAATATTGGAATTTTCAGTGGGAAATAGTGACTTCAAGTGAAATTATTGTTTTTATTTTCATTCATGGAAAATTGAGTTCATGACATCATGGTGAGACTGACTGAGGAGATGGTTGTGGCCAGGTCACGAATTTCTGATCTTACTACTGTTAAAAAACTTAATTGCTGGTGAGATATTTTTCATTTTCATCAATTATTTACAGCTTTCGTTCAGAAAATCTTGTTCCTTCAATCTGGAATCTCCAAAATCCATGTTCCCTGTTTTCCCTATTTCTATAAATCAGTTCCATGGAGAATTTCACTGGCAATCATTTATCTTATTCAATTATTATTAATTTTTTGTTGATTAAAAAAATGTATAAAGTGCAGTTCATGACCGATTCATTTTCCCCCATTGATAATGGCAACTAATTTGAGAATCAATCCAAACCAAAACAATTACTTACTTATCTTGCATTAATTATTAATTATCATTA